AAAATTATAATTAATATAATATTTATAAAGTAAAAAATAATTATTTTTTTCAAAAAATTTTGAATCACCCTGTATATTAACTAATTTTTTTCTATATAAGTATTAAATAAAATTTTGTCATTCTAGCAATTTATGGTTTAATAATGTTTATATTTATGAAAAATCATCATACTTGATATAAAAAATAAGTAAATAAAAAATATTTTTTTTATTACGTATAATACAAATTTAATTACGTATTTTAAATATCTAAAAAAAATTTATTTAATGAAAATTTTAAATATATCTATTGAAATTTTAATTACAAATTTTAATTACATTGTAGATTTGAATTAAAAAAAGTTATTCAAATTATTTTGACACCTGTGAATTGTCAAGTTACATAATAAAGTAATAATAACCATGACTTGTTAATTAATTTAACATAACCTTTAATAAAATTCAATCAAAAAACAATGAAATAATGTTTAACCCAATTTTTGAAAATAAAAAATACATAATTGAATACTATATAATAAAAAACATGGTTTTAATTTTATATTCAAGTTTTTTTGTTTTTAGCTTTAAATTAATAAATTTAACAATCAAACATTAATAATACTTTTATGTTTTTTAAATTCAATTTTAGTAAATTATTATAAAAAATAATATAAGCAATAAATAAGCAATTCAATATTTTATTTAAATAATTTATTATCGTTTCAAGCAAAAGTTAAGTAAAAAAGATTATTTGTTGATAATGAGAATTCAAAATTTTTTATGAATCTATCTTAAATATTAAAATTAAAGATAAAATAGATATACAAAATATAAAATTAAAAAAATTTTTTTGTAATAATAAATTCGATAATTTTACATTTATTTCTTTTCGTCTTGTTTTTAATTAATTTTAATACACTTAAAAAATATTCTATTATACTTGAAAAAAAAAAAATTATTCAAAATTTTATTAAACCAAGTTTATTATTCTTGGCTTTTTTTGCACCTAATTATTTAAATATAAAATATTATCAGTAATAATATCTTCTATACTGTATATTAAAAAGTAATTCTATACCTATATAAGTACAAGCAAATAAGTCCTTGTACGTAACTATAAAGGAAATCGACTGTATAAATTATTCGGGGGTTTTTTTTTCTGTAATATACTATAGAGTTCGATTGTTTTATGGTCTCACACTTTATGTTGAAGAACATTTTTGTTAAATAAAAAAGAAGTTTTCATCTTCACATCTGTATCCAGTGACTTCATTAAAGATAATTAAAAAAAAAACTCTTTTATTAATAATAGATCATTACAATTAAATCACGTTTGAAATTGCAAGAATCAGAAAAAAATTTTTTGTAGACCACCTTAGTTATTAACAAGTTCCTGTTCAAGCACTCGAATAAAAAGTAACGTAGCAATTTTCGTAATGTAACCAGTTTCGATCTTTTTCAAACGCTTAACCAAATGTCGTCTTTGAGAGTCACGAGTATTTTTATGATCATGCTTTGGTTTTTTTTTAAACAGATGCCAAAATACATGGATATTTTTCATCCTGTAATGATTGTTATTTACTTTCTATTTCGTACTCCCAACACTTTCTTATTAGCTTTTATCCATCGAGGTTATCCTGGTTATCTTCGTTTTCTTCCTCATAATTTGGATGGGATGTTGATGTATGCGTTTGGTTGATTTGTTCTAACTGTGTAAATTCATGTAACTCCTGTTGAATAGATGAATCTTGAATTTCCTCAGGTACTTTCGGTCTTGATTTATCCTTTTTAGAAGAAGTGAAATCGGTGCTCGAACAGCCTCTACACATAAAATAGGCTTTAGAAGGAAATAGATGAATAGAATGTGATGTTTGACATCATTTAATCATTACCTGCAACCACACAAAACACATTCGACAATACGGCCTGCCTCCAGTTTTGATTTCGGCACTCGACAGATACATGTTGTTCCAAAGTTCGTGTCTTTAGGTTGAATGCATCTTAGACAACAGAGACGTTCAAATCCTGGCTGTTTGTAGGACATTTAATGATATATTTACCATATGAAATATTTCTCGCAGATATAGTACAATATTAAAGCAAATCGAACCTTTTTCCATTTCGCAATCAAATTTCCATCGGCGTACCCATTTTTTACACAATATTCGTACACATCTTTTGATATGGCTTCACGTTTATAATACAAATCATAAATATAACGTGATCTTTGATGGTGCAAACGAAAAATGGGCCACAAAGATTCAACACGTCGTTTTCCTTCATGTGGTTCATTTTCGGCTGTTATGATTCGAAGAAGGGCTGCTATTAGTTTTGCTACGGTTAAAAAAAAAACATACACACAAGACTCTAAAATATACCATCTTTCATCTTCTGCGCAAACTCGAGTAAAGTTGGTTCTATGTCATCGAAGCCTTCTGGCGGCTTTTTCGTTCGTGAATGTCTAATTTTTGGCATATCGAAGATTATTTATTTTATAAAACGTAAACAATTTTTTAAATTATGGAACTCAATATTATCACAAAAATATATATGATCACATGATGATACTGTATATAATTCATATAATTCATGTGTTTAAGGAATAAAAAATGGCAAATCGAACCGTTTCGGACGCGATTGCGGTGCATGGAACGAATCCCCAATATCTAATTGAAAAGATAATCAGGACCAGAATTTACGAATCTCTTTACTGGAAGGAGTCATGTTTTGGTTTAACAGGTAAAAGAATAAAAAATAAAGTGAAATTCAACTAAGAAGTCATTGGAGTAATAAGTCATCTTACCCACAGCTGAAACCTTAGTTGATCGAGCAAACGACTTAACCTCTTTTGGAGGCCAATATGGTAATCAGAAGCCAACCGAATTTCTTTGTTTGACTTTGAAGTTGCTTCAATTGCAGCCAAGTAAGGAAATTATATTAGAATTTATTCGGAATGAGGACTTCAAGTAGGTTTTAGGTGCACAGATACTACATTTTTAGAGAAATTCTCTTTGATGCTAACGTGTAAATCGATCCATTCACCTCCCAAGGTATTTGAGAGCTCTTGGAGCGTTCTACCTGAGACTCGTGGGAACATCGTTGGAAATTTATCAAAACCTTGAACCACTGCTGAATGACTATCGAAAGTTGCGGAAGCGGGCAATAGGTGGGAGAATTCTGATTTTCATTTAACCTAATCGTCCTTCAATTAAAATTGAGTTCGCTTCTTAACCACTGTTGGATCGTTGAATCCATAATTTATCAAGATGGAGAATTTGTGATAGTGTGCATGGATGAATTTGTTGACGAACTATTACGTGAAGATCGAGTATGTGACACCATATTGCCGAGAATTATAAAACGGTACGTGTTAGAGGAAAATAAAGAACTGAAGCCGCGAGAGAGTGTTCTTGAAGCACTTTTAGACGATGAGGATATGGATACTTCTACTCATGAGGAAGATTTAACATCTGGAATTGATGAAGGGAAACAACCTACCAATTCTGAAATAAACAGGGAAAAAGATAAACGTAAGAATAAAAATAGCTCTGGGAGTGAAGAGTCAAGAAGTAGATCTAGAACTCCCAGAGGAACGGACCGATGTAAGTAAAGACACTTGTTTCTCGATTTTTGTATTTATACTTGAAGTTTAACGCTCATATCCGTTAATTTTTTACGCAGATGTACCTTCCAACCGTAGACGACAGCAATCTCGTTCTAGGTCAAAATCACGATCACGATCTCGATCAAGAATAAGATCTAGATCTCGATCCTTATCCCGGTTCCGATCCCGATCTCGTTCTCGATCTCGTTCTCGAGCTCGATCGCGTTCAGGAAATAGAGGTTATGACCGATATGAACCAACTTATCGTAAAAAGTATTCAAGTAGGGACAGGTACACAGCGTCGTCATATCGTCCCAGTCATCGCAAAAGATCACGTTCTAGGAGTAATAGTAAATAGATAGAAAAAAATAATAGCAATAAAAAGTTTCGTCTTTGAAATATGCATTTTATTAAAAGATGTTATTGGCGAAGTGTCACATAAATATAAAGAGGGTACCAAATTAATAGTAATAATAAATTGCAAGTGGTCAAATAGAAATTATTACAATGCAAGATTTAAACTAGAAGCGTGCGTAAGGTTCATTCCTTCTAAATAAATAGATTTCAAATTCTTCCAAGTGAACTAACTAACTATGATTAATCTTGACTGGTTAAGGTCACAATTAATTCACTTAAAGGTTGCAATTCTTTCTTTTCTATTAGCTGAAACTCCTGGACAAAATAAACAAAATGTTTAAAGCTGGTATTCAAATGAGCTTCCTCGCCCAACGCAGTGATGACAGAAAAATGGGATAGGTATATGTGCGCGTAAACCCGAAATAACCTTTTGAATATTACTTTGACGGAAGATTGAAAGTTTTTGGGAAATGGAACTCCTATTAAAGTCCGTTTAATTTAAACAATGTTTTAACGATCTGCTATTTGTTAAACCGACATGAATTTATGCATAAATAAAATTTCAGTGCACCTATTTTACTTGGGAACAAGCTTTCGTCCTCAAGCTGCTCTTGTATCCATTCCATTAAATGGCTTACGTATTCTGGGGCCGGTAATTTTACGGGTTTCTTATGTTTTTCATTATCAGACCAGAGATATTCAAACCTAAAAGAAAATTCAATTAGTTTACATTAAACTGTTAGGAAGATAAATAAGAAACCTACTTCGGACCGGCCGACATTATAGGACATTCTTGAGGGGTACAGAATTCGGCAATTGTACCATAAAGCATGTTGATTTGGTTAAAGAAGTCGTATGCTGTGATTTGTAAAAGAACAGGTTTGGTAGAGCATTCTTTACAACGTCAACCGAGTTCGTGACGACTCTTACTATTAACGGCTAACCATTCGTTGATGTCCTCTCCTTCAGGCAAGACCACAGCTAATTTCAGGTTCCCTGAGCCGAGGATAGCTTTCGAATATTCTTGAAGTTGGTATTGCTTAGTTCCTTCGGGCACATTTTTCTTTGGTTTGAAAGTCTTATTTTTTGTAGTTCTGACAAAAGAAGAAAGTTTATTTTCGCGTTTCTCTCCCAAAAAAGATGCTCGCAAAATAAAGAAAATACCCACAGTCCTAAAAAATTCATCTTTATGAAAAGGTTTGAAGAGGCAACAAAAAAAGGAGTAGGAGTTCGCTTGTCTTTTTAACACGTTCGTGTGCGTCCCTTAAATCCTCATATATCTCCTTGACACGACGTGACACAATGTTCCTCTTACACGTGATAGGACAAAACCTGCTATGATATAAGTTGTGTGACCGTGATTTGGTTTTTTTTTTTTTTTTTTATTTCTCGAATTAATCTTTTTATACAGTATAAATATTTATATAGAAAAAAAAAAAAAAATGGAAAAATTCAATCCTGAAGCCTTGCTTGCGTTAGAAGGTTCCTTTCTCAAGGTAAAAAAAATACATGAAATCCTATTCCCTGTCTAAATCTGACCTACTTATTTTGCATCTCGAAAATGAATTAGGTACCCATGGAACAACTCAAGCGTTCAATGAAACCTCATAAAGATTTAGACAGAGAGTTAGCCAAAGCTTCACTGATTGTTAAAGATCTTTGTCAGCAGGCTAATAAGGGGGAGATCGATGTTAAATCAGCCTGCGAGAATCTCGAAGCAATTGGCAAAAAATTGGAAAGCTTAAAACGCAAGGTGATTTTTTTATGGATGTAATTTTACGGGACATCGAAAGTCATTTTTATATCGTCGAAAATATTGCCAACTGCATTATTTTTGACCATTCAAATTAGCTCAATGAAGCAAACGAAGAGGAGAAAAAACACATTTCTAGGGGTAGACAAAGACTTGATCATCTTGTTGAATTATCGCAAATTAAAAGTGTGAATGATCCGGAATACAAAAAGTGGAATGAGAAGCGAATTGATAGGAT